CGGCTGATGCCTATTCCTGCATAGCTACAGAGCGAATATGGGCAAGGCACATTCCTCAACCAAGCCTCATGCACGACCATACTTCAAGAGAAACGCCGACCCCAAAACGCGAGGAGCAAATGCCTCAGTCTTTTGGGCAGCTCTACGCACCAAACCCCCCCTTCTAGGGAAGGCAATCGTTTATGCAGATGCATGCTATAGGCCTAACGTAGCCAGCTACCACAAGCTGATGTAAATTCCTCAGTCTCTGCACGTGCGTGCGATTCTGTTTTGGTTCGATGACAAGCAGGCAATAAGCGCGGTAACCGCATACGGACCAGCAAAACTATATTCTAAGAGAATGCATTATTTAACTGCGCCCCAGCACAATGTACACGGCACGCCCGGTTAGATGCGACAATGCCTGTTGCAGGCGCCTGCATACGTCCAACGGCGCGGCTAAATATCACAGGGCAAATACAGGGGCACCGCATAATGCCCACACTAGCGGACAGATATTCAAACAGACGCTATCTTTGCAGCACTCCCCAGAACGCCCTCTTATAAGTTCGTGCAGATGCCGCATTCCACCAACTCCTGGGGTGCATGCCCTAGCAAGGACGGTATCACATGACCAAATGACACACAAGCATTTGGAGTTCTCCAGTGCTCCCCACATGCTGCCGAAAATGCACTGTGAAGTCAACAGATCGCGTTGAGACGAAAGTACGCTAGTCAGCCTCCCTGCGCACCACATGAAGATGAATCTCCTAGTGCAAGCCAAACTAAAAAGAAATCCGAAGCTCACGAAACGCATACGGATACTGACAAAACCGTCATACATGCAACAGCTCACACCAAATCAACTTATTAATGCAAGCACCACTCCTATGAGAGATATCGCCGATAGCTCACAAACTATACCGCAGGAAACTTCCTTCGCACTTCGCGTTGCTTCTGACGCATGGACCGGTCTTGACTGAGAGAACACCGCACCAGATCCTCGTCAGCAACTTGCAATTGTCCGAGGAAGCCCAACGCCTCACGTGCGAGCTTGGCGGTCTTCCCAGCCTAATGAAAGCAACCGCAGGACACTTGCATGCGTTGTTGAAGGGGAATAGCAGCACTCTGGAAACCAGGTCGGCAAGTAACTGGAAGATACCTAGGTTGAAGACGCGCTATCCCAATGTTTTCGCTCGCAATGCTGGCTGAGGTCTCTCGCGTACAAAAGCATGCTAAGGGAAGACACCATTGCCGACTCTTTGTCTCTCAGGACTCGCAACCAAGCACGATGGCGCGTTTTCATCACTCTATGCTACCAGACAATAGACGGCAAAAAATGCTCAGCAGATTTAAGGGAGCTCCGAAGATGCCGGAGAGAGGAAGCTAGAATGAATGTCATCAGCTGGATGCACAGTACTTTCCGCGCTTGCGACGTCCGACAATAAGAACATGACGACACAGTTCTGCAACCGCGAGGCGCGCCCAGCGAAATTTGCAGCAAAGCGTTGGGTCCTGACAGTTGGAGATGTCCCCCGTCGACCGTAGGGCGCTACTGAGGCCGCAAACGTACTAATCGAGGAACGACCATACACTACAAAACAGAACAAGTTCCGCTGTTGCTGACCCACATAGAGACAGGACACAATGCCATCAGATTCATACGCTACGAAAGCGAACAAGCGCCTGCTGCCCTTTTTGCACCTTTCTGCAGCAAACGCAGCATGGCGGTGTGTGCAGGGCCAAAGCCATCTCCAAGGGGGGATGTGGAGCAGCACACAGACAAGAAATGAGCTTGGTGTTGTGCGGCAGACCTGCTGTTGCAGAGAATATTCACAGATGAAGTAATGGCGCCAAGAACTGCAATATGCTGGACAGCGAAGTGCCTCCTACTCCGAAGGTTCGCTGACGAAAATCGTGAACAAGCGCACGCATAGTTGGCAAGCCTCTGCCGGGTGCCCGGTTCCAACCCGGAGAAATGTTGAATTGATCGGTGGGCACCGCGTACCGCAAAAAAGTAAGCATCCAGAATATGGTATGGGGCCCCACAAACCGAATGTAGGTAGGTAGGCGTGGTTAACTGGGGAGAGCTTCGTGCTCGTGCTGGCATCTGGTCTGCATGGGCCAGCAAGAAAGACACCGATAATGAGTGAAATTCTCAACGTCTCCCTTCTTGCTTGTGCGTGCGCAACCCTGTTGACAGATGCGGCGTTGGCGCCTGACGTACATCCTGTCAACGGCGACCCATCAGAGCTTGATGAGCTAGGCAGGTAGGGCCTCCATCATGGGCGGGACGCCCGACGTGTGGGGCAACCTCTAGAGCCCAGATCCCTTTTCCGGTTCGACCAGAGCATTGCAGGCATACCAGACCAGATTTGAAAAATCTGGATGCCTTTATTTGACAACACACCTGCGGTTTTGCATTCACGTCTCCCTCCAACAACGGCCAAACAATCATCTCACCTCACTGCAGTACACGTGCCAAAAAGCTGCAAGCAACGTCTTCACTGTTCTCTGTGTTTTTGCAATCATATCTCCATGTGATAGGCACAAATCCTTGCTGGCACCACGCAGACAATCCCGCCACATAACCTGCAAACCCGATGGTTGCCAGTTAGAGGCACAAGAGCACCCTACGCATCGACCCCAACTGCAAACTCGCGCCACCGTAGAGTTACTGAAGATGCGCCTCATCATGTGTCACCGCTGAGTTGAAAAACGTTGAATCCACTCACCACTACTACATTCAACCAAGAGTATTCTTGTCATCCCACTACCGCACAAGATAGAACCCACGTGCGTCAATCTTCCCATTCGTCTGCAGTAGCCAAACAAACCTATGCTCGAAAGAGCACCTGCCTTTGCGCAACAAACACCTCGCTGTTTTTATCAATTTTAGATTTAAAAACTCGGAAACGTCGTACGGCAAACAACACAGATATTTCGAATGACGCTGGTGCTGCACGAGCCCTAACCAGCTCTTCCCACTACAGTGTCCATTCCCATCTCCACCTATTCAAATGAAGTGCCGCTTGAGGAATGCTGGCAGCTGTTAGCCGACATACAGTCCCTAGCCCAGAGCGGCGCTACCTGAATTTCGATCTGTTTTCCACGCACTCCCTGGCATCCATTAGCGTACCACATATTTCTCGCTCTAGCCGCCACGCGGGTAGCTTCACAAAGGAACCGCATAGTCCACTAGCTCACCGTGGCGCCCATATGGGTCAAAACCCACAGAGACCCGACAGGAACCTCAACGCTCAACGCTCCTGCCTCAGCTGCCGTTATAGGTCTACACCAACGCATACACTCCAACAAATATCTAGACCAACAATATGCAAAGCCAACTCGATATACACCACTCTTGCGATCGCCGGTGCAGACACGTATTGGATGACCCACCCGTTCGTCACACACCCTATACAAATTGAACACTAGCCGATCCGCGTCCCCTCATCCCGTAGCCAAAACAAAAACCACAACGGTTCAGCCGCTATCTGCACTACGGGTTCAACCATGCAGCTTCGCTTCAGCTCGCATTTCCACGCACTCCCTGTATGGCAGTGCACACTAAGAGCGATGCACGCTGCCATGGAATCAGCAGATGGCATGCAACGTCCCCATGCAACGTCCCCTTGGAATCAGCAAGTGGCCAGCAACGTCCCTTCGTTAACACACACGCACGCAAGCGACCGCTAAAAAAGTACCCCAAGTTTCTTGCCCACGCACTAAATGCCAGGGCACTTGACACGCACCACGTTTGGATACGCTTGTTTACTGTCCTCCTTGCAAATGCTCATGAGGGACTGAAAAGCCGAAGTAACGTCGGCGCGTCGTCTGTGCTCGTATGTGCAATCAACGCCATCCACAACACGCTACTTTGAATCCGGCGTCAGCACGGACTCATGCATTCATGGTTGTTTCCTCTTGGCTGCATAACGCATCTAATGGTGGTGGCGCGACTAGCGCCGAATACAAGTACCATCGCATAACTACACTCACCCAGGCGTGAGACATCGCAGACAGTCCCTTCCACATCTGTCTGCGGCG